AGAGGAGATCAGATATTGTAAAGCGCTGCACAAACTGTTGGCGCTATATAAATCCTGTATAATAATAATACTATAATAATAATTACAATTCCCTTCAATGGTGCAGTGTGCATGACAATTCTGAGGCTGCATTTTACATTGAGTTTGTTTGGGCGCAGCACATCCTATTGAGATTTTGCATTCGGTCTGTGCACGGCCTGTAGGTATGGCATGCAAAAGGAGCATTTTAAAAACGCTGAACAGAGATTAGTAATCTGCTAAGGATGCTGGAATAATGGGAGATATTTTTAGTAATGTGGCTAAAGACGGTGAGGTGGTTCAACTCCTATAACAGAAGGTATTTACACTTCCTCACCCCCGGAACAAAACCCAAAAACAAGGCGCTCAGTTTCTGCTGATGGATAGGTGGTCGGAGTCATGGCAATCTTTTCTTTTTGCCCCTTTTAGCCATCTGTACATCTAGAACCTCTGTCTGTTGTCCCATCCACCTCACTGATGTCACTGGTTGCTAGGAGTTGGGCGGGATGTCAGCCAGAACATCCTGCTCAGCTCCTGGCAACCAGTGACATCAGTGAGCCGGGTTGGACGCTGGCCAGAGTGTCACAGGTTGCTAAAAACTCTTAGTCAACTGGGACACTGTGGCTGGAAAGGGGGCCCCACCTGACCCAATGAGATGTTGCATGAGGCAACCACCTCAGGCTGTGTTCATTATAGGGACCACGCAGATAGAAGCGCATCCCCAACACAGAAGGAACAAGCGCTGTGGCTCATTCATGCGTATGCGCAGTGCATTTCCTTGGCCGTACAGCACAGAGCTGAGCTGCTACTGAGAGGAAGTGCACTGTGCACTGGGTCGCCTACAAAGGAGTTTATGCCACACACATCCTATAGGTATGGCATGCAAAAAGAGCATTTAAAAAAAAAAAAGCTGAAAGGCGATTTCTAATCTGCTGAGCATGCTGCAATCATGGGAGATTTTTAGAAATGTTCCTAAAGGTGAACTAACCCTTTAATGGCTGTACTGGTCCCCAAATCCCCATATTTGTTTACAGAAGTAACTCTTTTACATAGTAATTAACTCACCTCTCTGAAAATGGGCTTATTATTATTAACATCATTTATTCCTACAATGACTTTAGTGAAGCCGATTAATGAGGATGGTCCCCCAGAAATATTATCATCCACTGCAGAGATATTCAACACATACTGAGTTTTCGTCAACTTGGGCATAGGCATTCTACGAAGTCTTAAGATACCTATAAAAAGATCATGAGAAAAAAAAGAAAACTATAATCATATATAATGATGCCTAATTAACAAGGAAAAGAAAAGGTCTTATGAAAGAGTCAGAAATAGAACCAGTCTAGATTCCCTGGCAATAGAAGCTGAGTAATACAAACAGTACTCTTTTCAGGCACTTTGATTTTTTGTTGTTTGACCTTTTTCACTGTCCAGTTGAAAGTTGCCATCTTCATTCCCTTCAACAATGAAGTACAACACTCCATCCCCATCTGGGTCCTTAGCATGGACTGTGGCGACTAAGGTGTTTGGCCCCGCATCTTCAGACAGGAAAGTGTTATATCTGTTAAAGACAAATATAGTGATTATACTAAACAACACACAACTATTCAAAACCAGGTATCAGCCTGTGTGGCAAACAGGCACATTTCTATAGAATCGTAATTCATTAGAAGAGCAGTGTAAGGAAATGGGTTGTTCACCTTTTTATCTGCCTAAACTATGGCAACCTTGTGCACAACTGCAAATCTGAATAGAAAAAGCATCGCTCACATATATATTTTACACTATACATTTATAAACTGCTCACACAGGTCTTCACTGTGCAAACCATATTAGCTCTGCTGTATGGCCACTAGATGGAGCAAATGAGCACAGGAATTTCCTATGCTCCTCGGCTCCATCTAGGGGCCATGTAGTGCAGTGACTCTTTTCCCCATGTGAACGGTTTATACACTGAGTGGCTAGATTATTATGACCACCCCATCAGTACTTCGTTGGGCCACGAGATAACTCCAAGAGATGACTTCGTTGGGCCGCCTCTTGACTCCACGAGATGTTAAAGGTGATACGAGGAATCTGACACTGCACTGTTGCCCTTCAGTTGTCTTGCCACTCTCCGTTCTGTCCTAACATTGACTAGTCGCTGACGGTCACAATTTGCACGTTCAGACCCAGATTTTCGGCTGACAGTCGAGTCTTTAAACGCTTTAACAGCAGCTGCCCTTGAACATTTAACTAATTCTGCTGTTTTGCTGATACTCGCTCCATGGCTCCGAGCATTAACAATCATCCCACGTTCAAAGGCTGTTAAATCGCGTTGTTTACCCGTATCTTCAGAAAACAAATCCCTTCACGGTCGTGGTAAACAACCTGCTTCCTTATTTATAATGGTCTGGCCCTCTAGCAACTTCAGAGCGAAATTATAGCTAATTTGCCTACAAACGTCAGGTGGCCATAATAATCTGGCAACTCAGTGTAGATCAGCTCCTATGTAACCTAAAGGGGTTGAGTCACTAAACGCAAATACTTTGCAAGGGAATTTTAACTTAGCTTAGTGAATAAGTGATGCTCTGCTGACTTTCATCTTTTTGCCATGTGCAAGCAAAAATACAGTTTCTTTTATTTTTCTTGCATGTGATTGGGTATACTTTGCAAAGTGAATCTGCACCCCATTCACTAACCCTTTATTGCAAAGAGAACACCCTATTTGCCTTTAGTAATTTTTTGTTTTTGTTTTGAAAAGAGTAGGGAAGGGCTAAATGCCCTATCGGGTTATTACTTACTGCCTGTGTCCTATTGAGGAGATTTTACTTCACTTCCTGTTTTGGACCCACAACAGGAAATGAGGGGAAATCTTCTGAAAGTGAAGGGAATTTCAATCATGGACAGTTGTCACCAGAACATTTGTCCCTATTGGGAAATGTCTCTTTACCTCTTGCTCTGAAAGCAACTCTAACTTTTTAGATTTCCCTCACTTTTCTCTTGGTGACAGTGGTATATTTGCATTTGTGTTCCTGGGTCTGCACAAGTGCTGTGGACATTACAAGACATCCTGCTCTACCTCTTGGATTTTTATATTATGGAGAATGCAGCAGGAGAAGCTGGAACATACAGATGTGGGTGGGACAGAGTTGGGAAACATTAATAAGGCTACTGTAAGCTGGGTAGTAATGTCTTACTTTCTACATCACAGAGTCTGCACTGCCTTGTAACTGAAATATAACTTTATATATGTTAAAGCTGTATGAAAGTTCTTACACAGTCTGGGAGAAGACAGGGGCTTCATCATTGACATTGGCCATGCGTAGACGTACAGATGCTGTTCCAGTACGAGGGGGGTTCCCCTTGTCCACAGCTACTACTACAAATTCATACATGTGGTTGGCTCGCTCATAGTTAAGTATCTGGCTGGAATGGATGACTCCTTGTGATGTGATGGAAAACTCTGAGCTTTGAATGAAGTAGGAAATCTCTGCGTTTGTGCCAGAGTCACAGTCTTGGGCTGTCACTGATATATAAAATAACATGATCATTACATGTAGACACACATCGCACTATATCATCTCTATCGCTCCACATGGGGCTTTTACTGACAACTAAAAATGACAACTAAAAATGTAAAATACAGATCAATGTTTCACAAAATATAGTACATATTTACTATAGTCCCCGCTGTGATTGGTATTGCTAATCTCTTGCCAAGATACAACAGCTGATGAAAGCTCCCATGTGTGTTGGATGCATGTATCCAGGGCCGTCCTTATAATGAGGCAGTCTGAAGCGGTGGCCTCAGGCAGCAATTCTTTGGGTAACATGGG